TGTATACATATATATATATATATATATATATATATATATATATATATATATATATATATATATATATATATATATATATATATATATATATATATAAATGTTTCTGGACTGACAACTGAAGATTTAACCATTCATTTTGTTTTTGCACTAACGTTTTCACTTTATTCAAAGTTTTTCAGGTGAACTGTTGAATAAAGTAATTTGAATAAAGTGAAAACGTTAGTGCAAAAACAAAATGAATGGTTAAATCTTCAGTTGTCAGACCAGAAACATTTTTCTATATCTCTCAACTTGTGTTCAACTTAACAACCTTTATATATATATATATATACAAATATATATATACAAATATATATATATATATATATATATATATATATATATATATATATATATATATATATATATATATATATATATATATATATATATATATATATATATATATATATATATATATATATATATATATAGATTGTCTATATCTTAAAATTAAATATCGCACAGATATAGACAATAGACAAGATATAGACAATCTAATATATATCTATCTATTATATCTATATGTAATATATATATATATATATATATATATATATATATATATATTTATTATATCTACCGGGTGTCCCAAAAAAAAGTACTATTTATAATAACTTCTAAAGAAGTAAAGCTATCAAACAGAAATAACTTGCATTAAATAGAGGAAGGACTAACTTAGATTTTGATATATTACAAGTTGTATTTTACTAAAAAATTCGCGGAGATATTAATGTTTAAAATCGGGAGCATATTTTGGGATGTGTCTAAAATTAGCGAAAATCGGCATATCAAATATTAACTCCAGCGTTTGTTTGCTTAATGACATATCAGGCTAACTTGTATTTCAACAAATTGTCGTTAGGGTTTGTAAGGGATATGGTGTAGATTTAGACATCTTACATGTAAGTCTTAGCTTATTGTTTCCTGAAATATGAACGTTCGAAATTATGCAAGTATTTAATAGGTCTTTACAAACTTAAAGGTACATGAAAGACCATGCAAGGCAGGCGCTTAAATTTTTCTTAAATAGCCTAATTTTTTTATGTTTTTCATGGGTTCAAAACAGAGTTGACTATTTCAATCCCGGTTAGAGCAGGATGCATGAATATTATTCTTTAATGAAGGAAATAATATTGCTTTTGGAACTACACATCACAGGATCAACGCTACTATGTTGTTACGATTTGTTCCAAAAATGTTGAATGTCTCTGGGGAGTTGCTTGTTATGTCTTATGGAGTTGTATGGTTTGATTGTGTTTCATTCTCAGTTTATTCTGAACTTAACAAGATTAAGAAAAAGCAAAACATTTGAGTGTTGTTAACAAGATTTCAGAACGTTGCAGAAGTTAGAAGAGCTTCACAATTGCATTGTGACAACATGCCCTAATTCAGAACTTCGAACGATCCATGACGATCCTTCGCGATGCAGTGCATTTAGGTCTCATGAATTAAGGAAACGTATTCGTGCTAGGAACACACGCGGATTTCGGACGGATAAATCTTGCTTGTATTTTGCAGATTACAATAATACTTTGTTTCATAATAAACAATTTGTCAAGTGTCATTTATTTACTGGTAATAGTGTATGTTTCAGTCGGGCAAATCTTGATTAGTATTTGATACGCCGTTTTTTGCATATTTCAGACACATCCAGAAATATGCTCCCGATTTTGAACATTAATATCTCCGTGAATTTTTAAGTGAAATACAAATATGATATATCAAAATATAAGTTAGTCCTTACTCTATTTGATGCAAGTTATTTCTCTTTAAAAGCTTTATTTGTTTAGAAGTTATTACGAATCAAAGAATTCTACTTGGACGCCATAAACAAGAGCGAAAAAAAAAACAAAGTCTATGTGAAACACTATCAACGGTCTGTTAGGTAGATCCAACCACGTCACACCAACAAGCGTAGAATGTAATAGAGAGGTTTTCACTAAGTCAAAGGATATAGCAAATCATTTTTCTAAGTTTTTCGAAGAAAAAGTTCTGAAGTTCAGATCGGAAATGACCGATGCAATCGATCGTGAGTACGTGTCTGACTCAATTAGCAAAGTCATGGCTGGTAAATATTGTCATCCGGCATTTGAATTCACTCCACTAAGACTATCTATTGTCAAAGGACATCTGAGTAATCTTCCGAACTGTAAAACATCCGGAATGGATAATATTGACAATTATTTACTTAATATTGCATCTGAAGTCATTGCTGCACCTATCAGGCATATTCTAAATTGTTAATTTGCAACATCAATGTTTCCAGATCAATGGAAAAATTGCTAAATTGCGTCCGATTCCTAAAGATAGAAAAAAACCTTTTGAAGATGAGAACTCTCGTCCTATTAGTATGTTAAATTTACTAAGTAAACTGCATGAGAAAGCAGCGTTTCAGCAAATCAATCAGTATCTCTCGGTGAACAAAATAATAGTGATGAATCAACATGCCTACAGAGAAAACCCACAGTACAGAGACAGCACTAATTCAGTTAACAGACGACTGTCCAAGAAACATGGAAAACAGACTGCTTACCGGTGTAGCATTGTTAGACTTTAGTGCTGCTTTTGATCTAGTTGATCATGATTTACTATTGTTGAAACTGAAAGACTATAATTTTTCTGAAGGGGCCATCGACTGGATCAAGTCATATCTCACAGGCAGAATTTCGATGGTTAACATAAACGTTGAATATTCTAGTCCAACGAAAATTGTCTGTGGAGTACTCCAAGGAAGTTGTCTTGGACATATGCTGTTTAGTCTATTCATTAACGATTTACCATCTGTACTGGATACAGCTAGTATTACCTTGTATGCTGATGACAGCACTCCATACCATGTGGCAGAAAATGTCAATTTAATATCAGAAAATCTTCACAATGATCTACTTAACGTCGAGGAATGGATCCGGAAAAATCGTCTGGTGGTAAATGTGGAGAAAACAAAGAGTATCCTAATTGGAGGTCGCCAAAGGATTAAAGTAGCACAGCCACTGAACCTAAGTATGAAGAACAAAAGCATTACTCAGTATTTTAGATGGATGAGGCATTAAGTTGGAAACCCCATTGCGATGGTCTTTTGAAGGATTGTTCAAAAGCGCTCGGTGTGTTGTATAGATTTGGTAAATACATACCAAAAACTGCTTTAAGATCTATTGCGGATGCACTTATACTATCGAAACTCAACTATAGTCTAGGACCTGTATATGAGTTTGTATGCATTTCATTTAGGACAGATAATCTCAACTGTTTTAGGGCAAGTTGACCACGACGGTCAACATGGTAACGCTGCCCGAATCCCAATCCAGGACGAAACGTCCGAAACTGACCACACCCAAAAACGACGCTTTCGCCATACTGCTATCTACTAAACCATAAAAGCTTTGGCTATTCTGAGGTGTTTATATGGTTCAGAGATGGTACTTTTGGGGGTGGTCATTGGTAAGTGTGAAACGCCTAGCACTAATATTTCACAAGAAAAGGACCATGCAATAAGTAAGAGTTAATTACCGAGAAGGAGGGCTTCATGCTATATACAGCCCCGAGAACGCGAAGCGTTCGAGGGCTTTATATAGCATAAAGCCCGACATTCGAGGTAATTAACTGACTTATTTCATGATTGAAGAGGTTTTCTAACAAAGTTTTATTCTTTTTTTTCGATTTCGACAAGTATTTTTCTAGTTTTCTCGCTTATTTCTTGACTAATTAGGGCTGTATGGTATTCAAGGGCATTATGCTATATACAGCCCGCGGTACATCAAAGAAAACCGAGTCAATCATGAAATAATCATAGTTAAACGTCAATTTGTGGCTTGCAACTTCAGATAAACAGCAGTGGACTTACATTACCTTTTTCCCTAAATCTTTTTGATAGAACCATAATTGGTACTTATTTAAATATATTATCACTGGTTTGGTGTAAAATAGTTAATATTTTCTGACCGAAATAATAATTTGAAATGTGCCTACCTCCTGCAAATGGACGTATTTGGCTAAGTTCTCCACTTTACTCCGCTGTTTATCGGCGATCTCGTCGACATCCTACAAAAAATGTAAATCATCTCAGACATAATGGTATCAAGAACATTTAAACAAGTTTCAATTTGCTTTCAAGTAGATCATAGCTGTTTAACCATCGACAAGGTAAATCCACAACTTTGTCCAAATTCGGCGCCATTTTGTCATCCCATGTCGGTTGTCAACAATTCAGCCTTGTTACTCTTCCATCCAAGTCATTTCCATTCCACTAATAATAAACTTAACCCATTATAACGGTAGGAAATTAAAAAATCTAAACAAAATATAAGAAATGCGCCATTTTATCACCCTGTAAAATGTTGTTTACGGTCCTTCAAAACATTTCGTACAAATCTCGCGTGGTTTATCAGTGGGTTTAGGGCAATTGCTAGATAAGGTTTCAAAATAAGGTTTCCCTTTTTATATCAATTTTTAAAATAAGTTAGGGTTAGGTTAGGGTTTAGGTTGGGGTTAGGTTAAGGTTAGGGTGAGGGATAGTATTAGGGTTAGGGTTTAGTTTTGAGTTAGGATAGTTTTTTCTACGTTATAAAAACGGAAACCTTATTTTGAAGTATACTATCTAGCGATCACCGTGGGTTTAACACCAGGGACTTGGCAGGGGGGGGGGGCGTAGAGACTTGAAAAATGAAAGGAAAGCCCACACATTATGGTAAAACCAACAATCAACATTTAATTTGTACGACTTTTTCATATTAATAAATAATAATATGTATATATTTGTCGCTACAAGAAATAAAACAAACGTTTGTATGATTTTATTTAGCTTGTATTTACCCTCCCCCCCTGTCACGTCCCTGTTACTTTGTCACGCGATATTTGTACGGAATGTTTTGAAAGACTCGTGAGCAAAATTTTAAAGGGTGATAAAATGGCGCATTTCTTATATTTTGTTTAGATTTTTTAGTTTCCTACCGTTATAAAGGGTTAAATTTATTATTAGTGGAATGAAAATGGCTTGGATGGAAAAGTAACAAGGCTGAATTGTTGACAACCGACATGGGATGACAAAATGGCGCCGAATTTGGACAAAGTTGTGGATTTACCTTGTCGATGGTTAAACAGGTATGATCTACTTGGAACCAAGTTGAAGCTTGTTTAAAATGTTCTTGATACTATTATGTCTGAGATAATTTACATTTTTTGTTGGATGTCGACGAGATCGCCGATAAACAGCGGAGTAAAGTAGAGAACTTGGCCAAATACGTCCATTTGCAGGAGGTAGGCACATTTAATAACTTAACACAATAATGCATAAATTTGTATTGTACATATATTTTTATATATTCTAATCTAACTATTTTATTTTAATATTTGTTACTTGAGTTTTTCGGTTTCTTTGTAAACTGCCATTCAAGTTTTTAATAAATTCAATTCAATTCAATTCAATTTCAAATTATTATTTCGGTCAGAAAATATTAACTATTTTACACCAAACCAGTGATAATATATTTAAATAAGTACCAATTATGTTTCTATCAAAAAGATTTAGGGAAAAAGGTAATGTAAGTCCACTGCTGTTTATCTGAAATTGCAATCCACAAATTGACGTTTAACTATGATTATTGCATGGTCATTTTCTTGTGAAATATTAGTGCTAGGCATTTCACACTTACCAATGACCACCCCCAATAGTACCATCTCTGAACCATATAAGCACCTCAGAATAGCCCAAGCTTTTATGGTTTGGTAGATAGCAGTATGGCGAAAGCGTCGTTTTCGGATGTGGTCAGTTTCGGATGTTTCGTCCCGGATTGGGGTTCGGGCAGCGTTACCATGTTGACCGTCATAGTCAACTTGCCCTAAAACAGTTGAGATTATCTGTCCTAAATGAAATGCATACAAACTCATATACAGGTTCTCGACTACTACTGCTGTACGGTTTGGGGTTCAGCTCTGAATCGGAATTCTTTAGACTTTCTTCAAATAGTTCAAAACAAAGTAGCTAGATTGATCGTAGGTTGTAAAATTCATGAAAAATCCAGAAAAGAACTACACAATGAACTTAACTGACAAAGAATACACATGAGAACAGCTATGATTATACATAGAACACTCTATACTGGAAGGAACCATTTACTATATTTATGCACCTTCATCCTCTCATCATTATCCATGAATATGAGACAAGATTCGCATTGAAGCGTAAAGGTGATAAGTTACTACTTACGAAACCTGTTTATAAGAAGAAAACATTCCTTGCTAGAGCGTTTACAACAAGAGGAATAGAAATTTGGAACAATTTAAGTGTAGAGACAAAACACATAGTAATGAAAGAGCTTTTAAATCTGCTCTTCGTAGACAGTTGGCGTGGTTTATTTTATATATATACCGAATAAGCACTGCTATTGCTATTGTTTTGACTAAATTTTATATTGTATATTTGTATAGCATCGTAGTTTTTTGTAAACTATATATATATATATATATATATATATATATGTATATATATATATATATATATATATATATATATATATATATATATATATATA